GTCCTGCCCCCCAACACCCTTCTGCTTGCTCGCAGGTCCTGCGCACCTGGATCTGGCCCCTCCGCTCTGCCACCAGCACACACAGCCCCACCTGGGGATGCTGCAGCCAAGATCAGCCCCGACAGTTTGGGTCAGAACCCCCCCAGGCTTGAACCCCCGGTCATCACCAACGGGCAGCTGCCCCACGGCCTGCCAGGGGCCTGTCCCACACCAGGCAAGCACATCCCCATCGCCCCAGGGAGCCCCCGTTGGGGGAGGCAGCTGGGGGAGTGGTGTGCCACAGGGGAGAGCTTGGCTCCTGCAGCTTTGCAATGGAGGTGACCACCTCCATTGCATCGGGCACCACCTAGAAAAATCAGAAGCACCTTTTAGATTTTTCAAGAAGGTATTTCTGAAGACACTGATAGCTGAGATCTTTACATTTGACCACACTTGCTTGAGCCAGCGTGCAGGAGAGTATGTGGTACTTGTCAGAGGAGCACATGCACTGGCACTGCCTAATAATAAGCTGCAGTTAACAAGCCCAGAAGATCAGCCTCACTGCACGCTCCCAGGACCAGGACCTTGCACTTTACCAGTAAATTTTACCAGTAAGGAAGAGGCAAAGTGGTTCCCACCCCATCACATTAGGGACGTGTAGAGGAGCACCATGGGGTGGCAGCAGGGCCCTGGAGCACATGGAAAGACCCTGGGAGGCAACCCGCCAGCCCAGGGAAGGAGTGGGGGCAGCTCCAGCTACAAGAAGGGATAAAACTTGGCTTTTCAAAAGCCAGAACTAGAAATCAGCGTTGTTTCAGCTAGAGAATAGGTGCAAGGTCTCCTCTGTCTCTGCACCTCACCAGGAGCAAGGACAGGAGGGCAATGCCTGTTGCAGAGCCGTAGTCAGCACAAGAGGGGCTGATGGCCCCACAATAAAAGCTAGAGCAGAGATGTTCCCAGCAGCACAGCACAGCCTCTAATTTTAAACTAGACTTAGGATTTAATGCTCCACTGAAGAGGGAGTAGAGCTATCAGCCCTTTAATTTCATTGGAGGGGAAGGAGGGAAGAGAGACACAGACTTTAAGATGATTTATTCACACAAACTTGTATCCCAGCCCCACCTCTCTCCCCCAAACAGAAAACACTTGACCATGACGTTTATGGAATGGCTCGGCTTCAGCTTTTAACAAAATCCTCCACAGAAGGGCAAGAGCACAACAAAGCACACAAGGACAAGTCCACACGCAAGCAGCCAGGCCAGGAAGAGAGCTTACGGCACGCCTCCGGGGCACAGTTTATAAATACATCCTTCTTGTGTGGCCTTCAAAGAAGGCCAGCCAGGTTACATCCACATGGCACGAAGACAAGAGCACAACCTCATTCTCCAACATTAGAAGGGGTAGGGATGAAACGTGAGCTACCGCCAGCACTGCGGCCCCATCCCTCCGTCCCAGGAGAGCCCCCGGATGGGAAGAGCATCCCACCGCAACCGGCAGAGCCGCCGTCCACGCCTGCCCCCACACGCAACCCCCTTTGGTTTGGATACAGCCATTAGCTCGGCGTCTCAAGTCTTGAGATCATCTCTTTGGAAAGGTGAGGAGGAAGAACAGAGGTGACGGCCTCGGGCCTGCTCCTTACCCGTCCTTGGGCGGAGGATAAAGGCGTGAGCTGTTGAGGCTCCTTGGACCATCACAACCATCACACCACAGGCAGGTAAGGAAACTTTCCCCAGAGCAGAGGTATTGCTCCGAACACTCGCTTGACCCTCTGAAACCATCGCAGCGCTACGGGAGGCCCACCACAGGCTCTGTTCCTTTCAAATAAGCAGCCCCAGCTGTGTGAAGTTCATCTGAATGCCCCTTTTATTGAACGCTGTGATAGTGCAGTGGTAACATTGAACAGAGTTAAGACTGCTTAAAACAAAAGCTGGAAGAGCAAGAAGTTTTAAAAAAAAAAAAGTTAGACCAGTTAAAACAGCATTGGTCGCCCCAAAGCAGAGACGCACGGGGGTTTTAATGTAGTGTTAAAGGTTAACTTGAGCATGTCTCCTCCATGTGCCTAACACCCAAAACATGCCTTCTACTTAAGAGTCTGAGTGAAAAATAAAAAGGTAGTCTGTCAGATGAGTGCACATCGGGTGATCAGGAAAGGACCAACACGGGTTTAGAGAAGTCAAGGAGTTGATACTGCATCTACCGCTGTGCTCCCCCACGCACGGCCTGGGCACCAGGCGCCCCTAGGCTAACACACCACACAGCTGCACGTAAAGAGCTCCTATGCCAGTTCATAAACATCTTCCATTTACTATTTGGTGATTACATGTGTGTATATATAGTTCTCTAGGCAACACATTTCAATGAGATAGTCAACTCTGAGGATACACAGGCCAATCTAACAATGAGAAATGCAGTTTCAGTCCAACAGAAGCTTGTTTTCCCTTTCCTCAAGAAAGGAGATGTAACCCTCTCTCCCCTCAACAGCATGACCTGAAAATGCCAGAGTCCTCCGCTGCAGCTATTCTTCATCAGAGGAAGAGTTCTGATCCAGGGGGTACACCATGAACATCACGTCTGGCCGCGACGGGACAGAGGGGTGACCAGGCCTCACGATTTCAAAGCCCAAGAAGCTGAATGTCTTCAGGAGTGGAGCTGCCAAAGAGAAGGAAATCTGTTGCCACCAGGAATAATCCTCTTTACCTGCATCACCCTAGAAGCCACGAATATCAAAGTGCACTGAACACCCTCTGTGAGCACATCCAGAGCTTCCTGCACAGAAAGAAACCATTTTAACACGACAGCGCTCTCAAATAGGAGGTCTTGTTTCTTCTTGCATTCATCACAGCTGCTCCTAAGTGTGAAGGGGATTTTAGTTGTGCAGCAGAGCAGGTTTATCCTGTGATGTCTGTTCCATCCCCTCTGAGAAACACCGATGGATGGTTATCTACCAGCACCAGTCACGCAGCCCCGCTTTGCCAGGCCGTCCTGCAGCACGTCAAGTTTTTATTCTGTGCTTACGTGGGTCCCAGCACCCTTTGAGCCCTGAATGCTGGTCAGGCAGCAGTAAACAGGAATCTACTTACTCAGGGTCTAGGCAGAAATTTGCTGTCTCTGTGAGGAGGACCTGGAGCTCAGTGGAAGCTCAAGGTAACTCAGCACAGCTCGGTGTGGTCCCCCAGGAAAGCCACCCTCAGAGCATTGGGTTATGCACAGAAGAAATTCAGAGCGGGGTCAGTCCCCACACGCACCTTGTCTTGGTCAGGCAAGGTTATATTACACAGTGACTGGATGCGTGCCCGCTTGTTACTAAAGCCATGACTTCCCCGTGACCCGTGAAAGTTACCCTGGTGCAGCATCTAATCTCTACGGCACCCTCTGATGATCAGCTTTCAGCCACTGAACGGACATGCGGAGGAGCTCCTATGTATTTTCAAGACAGCACTGAATTTCAACTGCATAGACAAGGACCGAGGATCTGGAGCGCTCCAGAACTCGTACAAGTAAGCCAGGTCCAAGAGCAACACCTAGCCCATTTTTAAAAACAAAACCCAGTATCAGATATCTCCTGTAACCAGCCACTGCGGAGGTCACCTATGCAACCTGTGGTGGTGGTGACATTATAGCAAGAACTTAATCTGAAAATTATTCTTGGCATCGTAACACGGAATGACATCTTCCTGGGCTCAGCACAGCTTAGCTCTAATAACGCGGTCCATTTCAGAGAAGACAGCGCAGCTTGTGAAGCAGCAGAGTAAAATTAGAATTAAGGTTTGAATTACTCCTGCCATGGCAATTGCTTGGTTACTAGCCTGCGTCTAGTAAGATTTAAAGTGACACATCCATAGCTTGGTACCTCGCCACAAATCTCCTCAAACTTCCGTGCTGTAATCACTCATCCAACACATCTATCTTTAGATCCTAATGTAGGCCCCTTAAGCCATAAGCATCTACAGCCAGGGTCAGGATTACCTGTAGGTCTAGGAAGGGCAAAACTGCCGGGAGATCTTTAAAAAGCAGATGAGCATCAGGGCAACAAGCTATAAGTGTTCGTTTCCCCTGTAATAACCTCTCCCTGGTTTCTCCTTCCAAATCACAGAAGCCTGGTGCCAAATGGAGACCTTCACTCCTTACCAAAGGAGAAATATTAACCAATTTCTGGACAAGAAAATACTCCAAGTAATTCAGCAGCAGCTTTCTGCATGAGAGTACTAGTAATAATTTAATGGCAGGACAGCAAAGCGTATCTGCTGGAGAAACCAAAATACTCCCTCTCCCTTAGTCTCAAGAAAGGGCTTATTTCCTCCACAGGCAACTATTTCTAATTTGTAAGAACGCCACGGGAATTATGTATATAACAATTACTGCAATAGGAAACGTCCCGTGGAGCCTTGCTTTGGGATTACCAGATTTTTGTACGGCTTCAGCAGCACCGTTTTAGATCTAGGGAGCAAACCTGGCAGTGGGGGCGAGTTCTCACCTCTGTCTTCTCTGCTTTTTCTGAAGCAAATAAAGACGTAGTTTACTTTCATTTTTTCTTCAGCAAATTCCAACAGTGCTGATAACCTGCCAAGGAGGAAGAAGACAAAAGAACATCAGCTATAGGAAGTCCTGTCCTGAGGAAGCCTCTGAGCATTATCAACTGTCTGGATGTTTTCAGGCAGAAAGATTACTTGTTTACAGACCCCTTCCAGCGAACAATGGGTGCTGAAACAATGGGCTTCCTGCTTCGCTATCCAGCCCTGCAAAACTAAGAGCTACCCTCACACCAAGACACCTAACAAGTCACTGTCCTCAGCACCCGCGCGCACAAGCACCCATCCCCACCAGCCAGTGATTTTGTACAGAAGCCTTCGTACGCAGGAAGCTGAATACTGCAGCTGATCCCGAGCCAGGCTACATCCCCTCCGCTGGCAACATACAGAGGGGATCTGCAAGTTTTGTGCTTTATGGGGGGGGGAGGAAAAAAAAAAACCCACAACCCGCTCATGGCAGGCAGAAGAGAAGATAAAAACATCACTGAAGGAGCATGTGCACAGGCAAAGCTGTTTCCCCGAACACATCAGGTGGATGGCACAGCTGATGCCCTCTGAATCCATGCTTCCTGCCCTTCCCGCTAAATTATTTCTGCCACCTCTTGATGAGGCAGTGCTGCATTAACCCCTCTCTGAGCCCCGGGATAGGCACGGCAGAGCCATCGCTGTCACTGCTGGCCTTGTAACCACTTACGATGCAGGCTGCTAGAGCAGTGACAAACAAGGCTTCAATCGACATCTAATTAAACAGCAGTCAGCGAGACTGGAGTGCAGCGAGGGAGATTAAATTTGCAAGGGTTTTGTTAATATGGTAATGAACTATTTTAATTATAGCCTCTACTAGGCTGTTTTACCTAGCTAAAAATAATCTTACAAAATTGCACTGTAAGTCACGATGACACAGGCGGGTAAATACCCTCCCAGAAGAACGCGCTCCCAAGAGAGCAGGCACTTGGACAGCTAAAGGATTTACGGGCCGACTGAAGAAATTACACAAACATTTATCTGGGACTCAGAGTCAAATGAGACAAGTGTGAGACAGCAAGAATACTGGCACTTATTGAAGGTGCCCAATGAGTTTTTTTTCTTAATTAGCTTGTGTCATTTATGGATGAAGCCTACTTGGAGATTTAGGAGGACTTCAGAGAGCTTTGCAGAGGAATCCAGTAAAGCCACATCTACGCTACAGTGCTCCCCACCAGCGGAGATCTCTGGCAAAGCACTTGGCAGGAAGTAGCTGCTCTGGAAGCTGCGTTTACACAAACTTCCCAGAGCAGAGCTGTCTGGACAAAACACTACCGTATTCTGCCAACAGAGAAAAATCAGAGACTCTGGCAGAGCCCAACGCGTGCGTGGCAGCACTCCAGCCTACTGATGAGAAGGAGCGCATCAATATAATGGAGTTTTTTTTCCCTGAAAGAGAGGAAAACGCCTGCCAAAATAAGCTTGCCAAGTGGCCAGCAAAACAAAAATCTGAGAAAGGCTTGTAGATTTTCCATACCAAAGTATGCAAAGAATCACTCTGCTCATTTATTGCTTATTTTTCATTAGCACAGGGACTCAAAACACAGTAACCCATCTGAAATCATCACTAAGGGGGAAGAAAATATATAAGGAGGACATTTCTCTGAAGACAAGGGAGTAAGGATATACTTCAGATACACAAACCAGGAAACCAGGAACAGAGGTGCCGTACATACAGCCCATTCTTCTCACACACACAGCATCACCCACGTAAGCAAAGCCCTGCTCCCTGTGGAGCCACGGACGCAGCTCTGGGATCCTGAACTTACCCTTCTTTGCTTCCATCAGCTAATAATCCGTCAGGGATTTCCACAAAGAGGCTCTGATTAGAGAGCACTGCATCCCAGGAGGAGGTCTTCACCTCTGTGACCTTATACTGGAAGTGGACAATATGAGGCTTCCCTTCGTGCACTGGGACATCTTGGTTAACAGTGATCTTCTCGTCCTGCGCAGGGGAGGGAAGAGAGCTTGTGAAACATGCTTTAGGGTTAAAGAAAACTATCCATAAGATTGTAGACCAAAAAAATGTGATGACCATGCTTAAGTGTTTTTAGCAGGAGCGCCCTCCTGAAAAAAGACCAGCCCTTACAGACTGGTGCATGTCCAGTTTCAGCCTAACACTAAAATTCACCACCCTGAGACTCACCATAGCTCGTGAAGGTACGCATAGTTGGCTGCAAGCTCATATCTGAGTCTCAGCACTCTAAACAAGTGTGTAAGCGGTTAATAGCTATTGTTCTGAACTACCTGTATTTTCCAGAATATCTTGCTTTTATTCTAACCTAATAAAAAAATAAAGAACAAAAAAGTAAAGTCCTACATACTAAACAGCCAGGGGAGTATAACTAGAGACATGCAAATGCAAAATAAATGGTATTGTAGTTTTACTAAGAAGAACATTATACTTTTCCCTTCCCCTTTCACGGGCTCAGGGACACACCACAATGAGTACTCGGACCTCAGAGCGATTTTCTAGTCATGTTTTCCTATTCAAGGGAATGCAGTTTTGCATATTTACATTATATTCAATTTCTGCGTAGTGAGAGTCCATTCATTCACCACAGGTCCCAGCCACATCTTTGAAGGGCGGTTCATGAACTACCCTTCAAAGAACACAACAAGCTGGAAGAGCATCTGCTGCCACAGTCTGACCAATTTCGTTGTCTCCCCAATCCCCAACACAGTCTTTTTGTTTAAGGGATGACCACAAATTGCTTTCCCAGATTTTACAACCAACTGGTATGGCAAATGGTTTGCCTCCTGGTTTAAGGGAGGAAAATACATAGCACAGAGAAAAATCCCAAAACAGACAGAAGCTACAGAGATTTGAAGATTGAGATGAGGTCTTTTCCAGAGACCACAAATGTACAAGTCCCTCTCCAATACTACTCTAAGTAGAATGCCAAGCATGCAGACCACCTCAGATTCAGCTCAGCAGTTCTTAGAAAACAATTTTGTGGTTAAAACTCCATTCCTCCTCCTGACAATTTTTGCAGGCAGTTGGCTCGCCCCATAATGATTTCCACATTTCACTGCAAAGAGCCCCAATGAAACAACGACGAAATTCATTAGGTTCCCGAGTTAACGTTGTCAGCTGCAGCAGAAGCTAAACTGTTCCCATCTGCTCGGTTACAGGCTCATGCATCCCGATTCTTTCACATTTACAAAGTCACCTGCACAGCTTTGAAGGGCAGAAGTAAACCAGATAATAAAGTCATGTCTGCTCTGTTCCGGAGTCACGGGCATGCCTGGGAAAGCTGTGCGCCCCTCTCTCATCTACGGCATCAACAGGTGGGGTGCGAGGTGGTTTGCTCCAGCAGGTCATTAGGTGAGCAATCGTCCAGCCTCCAGGCATTTTATTTCATCAGGGTGATTAATTCAGCAGCTCATGATGAACTCTGATCTGCTGACAATCAGCTGGACTGACAATGAAACAAGTGACACCGCTGCAGAAAAACAGCATCTCACCAGACTAGGCTTAATAAATGCTTTGTAGTGACATACGCTGATCTCTGACCGTAACACACAGGCAGCAAGTACAGCAAAGAAAACTTAATCCGGTTTGGATCTGCAGTGAAGCAGCATGTAAAAGATGGGCAGTACAAACACATCGGCAGCCAACGGTGCCACCCAGTAAGGGGGAAGAATCCTCAGTGTTGGGGCTTTTCAAGCAGATGTTTTCTTGTAGGTGTTTTGAGCTATTAAGGTATAAACATCACTGAAAGACCCGCGGTTCAACAAAAACATCTCTGAGACCCTTTCTAGGCTCCTCCGATCTGTGTCCCAGTGCTCTAATTCCTATTACCATGTCTATTAAAACAGATCCCTCTTGGTTTGACTATTGTGATGAGGAAGAAGCCATTGAGTATGTTAATGCTGGCGACAAAGTTACACCGCATACAAATCAGGAACTGCCTGGCTTTGGTAACCGGAGCAGAGGAAGCTGCCGTTTGTTTAAAGCCCACAAAGCTTAGCTGAAAAACAAGTTTACACTTCATCAGAATAAATATCCTGTAGGAAATAAGTTTATTCATTGAGTTTGAAAGAAGTTTTCGTGGCTGCACCTGCTGTCGGGTTTTACTAGTTTTAAGCCAAGTGCGCTAAGAAACCTACTGACAGCTGCTCAAGTTAAATCAGACTGCGGCTGATAAAGCCACCGCGGAGCCAGCAGCAAGAGTCAGACTGGAGCCCAGCGAGAGCTCTGCACTACAGAGGTGTGTTTAAAAAACAAAACCAAGGGGATTATATGCATGTCCTTCACCAGTGACTTTACAGGAGCCTTTTACAGTTCTTGTTACTGTGCAGAAAGCGTGTCTGTTTCAGAAAAGATCCTTCTCTCAAGAAAAGCTCACAGATGCTTCTTTTCTTATACTTCGTGAAAACAAAAACAGGGTGAGGAAGTTGAGAAAAGCAGGCTGGGATCGACACATTGGAGGGGGAGGCATTTGTGCAGGAAGACTGGCAGGAGCCTGCAATAGGAGGGGAAAAGCTTTCCGAGCTTTCTGGCTTAGTCCTTCTGTCACCAGAAGTTATCCCTGCACTCCAAACCTAGCGAGGTTTTTCCACTTAAAAGGCCCCTAATGTGACAGCCCATGAACCACAGGCAGCATAACCGCAGGGATTAAGAGAACCAGTTCCCCCGGTTCAGTGGGAATTACATTTACACAGACTGTCTTGGGCAGCTGATATTTCATTTCCAGGCATCAAAATAGATACAGCGAGATGCTGCGGAGAGAAGCTGTTCCTGTGACGCAGCAGCCCAGAATTCTTTGGAAGCTGCTCAAAGCAAAATCCTGTTTATGCAACAAATGTTTGGTTTTAGTTCACCCCTGCAAAATCCCCCCACCATGCTATTGCAGGGGGAAGAAAACCCACCAGGCTATCTTTTATACACAGCTGCCTAAACCACCGGCTCTCCAGCCTTGGGCTCCATTTCAGTGAAGTAAAGCCGCAAGGACCAGCTTCCACTTGGTTACAATTCATAGAGCACAAGATTTTTCCAACCCAGCTACGCTCCTCAGATGTCCCGAGAAGGATGGGGGGAGGCCCCTACGTGTTGGCAGCGTAAGAAGAAAGGATGTTATGATCTACCATAGCCAAGCGACTCAAGAAACCCGTGTAAGCAGCCTACTGTTGGCGTGTGCTACACCTGCAGCCTCCTGCCAACTTTGCTAGCCAGAGCACGTCCGTTCGCACAAAGCCCGTCCTGGCTGCGCCGCACCGATGCCGATCACTACTGCATTCCCAGCTCAAGTAAAGCTCCCTTGATGAAGGGCCGAGTATTAAGTCTCTTAACACAAAAATCCCAACAACTATAGGGAGCGCCAGCTGCTTAATTTATAATGCGGTTGTATATGAGCACTGCGCCGCAAACTCCGAAGGAGGCAGGCTCGTTCAGAAAGGTCATCCCTTGAACTAGAACAGCTGATACAGCTGGAAAAAGTACTTAAGCTTTTGGGTCCAGATGCCTTTCCAGGTCACGCTGAAGCTTGCTGGCTAAAAGCTCAGCCTGATGTAACTACAGCACCGCTAGACTGAGCGGGCAACTGAGAGGGGCAGAGAGAGTCCCAGTAACCCGTCTGAGGCTGGACTGTAAACCCACTGGGCCACACAGCCCACTCTGCTCTGGGATGAGCATATTACAGAAGGGGCTGATTTTCTGACAGATTCTGCTAGGTTTTGTCAGCAATAAACCCAGAAAGAATTATATCCGTATTTCTGGGATGCAGCTATCTAGATGACATCCCCACAGGCAGCAACCCCTGCCTACACACCGCTGCCTAAAGCTTCTGTGCTAATTCAAGGCCATACTGGAAATCAAACACTTCAAAGCCTCCAAACTGTCATTTTTTTCCATCAGCATCTCCTCCACATTGAGCCCATTTTCTGCCTTCGGACCTCGCCTGCTGCGTACGCAAGGCTTGGCAAAGCTGGCCTGCAGGAGTTCAAGTTGCAGAGTCCCCTATTTCTCATCCCCTCCCACCCAGAGGGAATTCATTATTTGTCCTGAGCCCCTCTTGAAGCTATTTATATATCTTCTCTATCTGACAGGAAGCCCGTTGTGTTCTGCTGCTTCTCTAGATTTCATACCCCTCTAACATCTGTGACAATTCAACTCAATAGCATTAAGCTGGTGTTACGTCATTTTTAAGAGGCTACAGAGGTTGACATTTATTCACAAGGTAAGTGGGTGAGGCACATGCTCAAAATTCACGAAGGCTGCATTAAAGAAAACTCCTCCGAAAGCAGCCGTGAGGTCTGCGATTCTCTGATGAATTTCAAGAGGAGACTTCGGTAGCTGTGACCCAAAAGGGCCTGTATCTTTTCATCATATAAAGTCTGTGTGCCTCCCACAGGGTAATTAAAAATCAAGTCTAACACCTATGACAACACCCATGTCTGAACAGCCAAATTTGCAACCTTAGCATAAATTTACTTCATCTGATAGCACTTTACTCCCTGGCTTGTAGAAAAGCTGCCCCATCCCAGAAGGGAGACAGATGTGTGCCACCATAACACAACACAGAGCTGCACGAGCACCAATTATTCTACAGCAAGGAACAGCCAAGTCTCCTCATCCAACAGCCAAAAGGAACGGCCCCGTAGGATGAAGAGGGCCCAAAAATGAGAGCTACACAGATCCACGTGCTCCTAACCAAGTCTGCAGAGACAAAGCCCTCCTGATCTTGCCTCATCCTATGCACGTGTTCTAGAAACGTTTCCATCTGTGAGGTGGGCGGCCACCTCGCCCTTTTGTGAAGTCAGGAGTTACTCTGTACATCGGTTCAGGCAGCTCCCAGGCCCTGACAGCTTTACCTTCCGGACTAGGGCACAGGAAGGAGCTTATCAACCATTCTCTCTCTGCATTTCACCTTTCTGCTTCCCGCTTCCTCTTCTTGCGAGACATTTAAGAAGTTGTTTCATATTTTGGTAACGCTGGCTCTGCATACAATAGCTGAAACAGACCTCTGGGAACAGGGCTAGCGAATTATTTGCTGCACACCTTCGAGAAAAGGTCTCTCATTTCTTAATAAACAGGTGACATTTGAGCAGGAGAGCGCTGCATGCAGCTCAGCAATCTGCCAACAGGGTCGCTGAAAAATTAACTGTTCTCCCACTTATTACCTTGGAGTTTATTTGCATTTATTCCCATCAGACTGCGAAAGGAACCGAACACAGTTGCAACATGGGTACAGGTCATTATTTAGACGTCAGATCTTTCTCACCTTATATATCAGAGCTGAAAGAGAAGGATCCCTGCTACCCCCTCGCCCACCGGGGATCTTCGACAGTGGGTGAGGGGCATCAGGAGCACCACAGAGGCCCTGGAACAATGTGCCTGCAGCACTGCAGCTGGGGACAGTTACTCAAAGGTAAAATACTACTGCAAGAAAAAGAGAGAGAACATCAGGTTACGTTAGCAGGGATCACATTTCAGATGCTACAGCACCTCATGACCCCAAACCACTCGTATCCCTGCTCCTCCGCAGCACGTCAGAGGCAGCCGTCAGGGCGTTAGTGCCCGGACATCGACATTAAAAGCACTCGCTGCCCAGGTTGTATAAATGGAGGAGGGGCTTTGCAGCCAAGAACCCGGAGAGAGTGCTGAGCAACCTCATGCTAATAAGGGACGCCTGGAAGACTGCCAATAGCAGATGGCTGGAAACGCATGACCAGATGAGCACACATTTTCTATAGACAAATGTCTACAAATAGATCCACAGGACCCAGAAGGAGGAGGTTTAAGTTTCACATTTTCAAAACGAGGAGGAGTGAAAGGGCTGGTTCTTCAGATATTTTCAACATGCTCTACAATGTCCGAGTTGACATTTTCACATGCAAATGAAACATCATACAAGCATCCTTCACCCCAACCCTAAAAATTACAAGTTCACCCCTCAGATCTACTTTTAAGAGCAAGAAAATAAGTTTCCCTTGCAGTTTCTAAGTTTGTTTGGATGTCCTACACACGGTCTTTCAGGATCACTATGAACGCAGGCTTTGATATCTGCCCTAGCTTTTAGGAACTTCACGAAAGCAAATTATTTTATTTCTGGAGCATTGCTCCCTTTATCAGTACCACAAAAGCTCTTTGCTGAGGCACGGCCCAGCAGCGGTATTCCTCTAACAAAGCCTGCAAAAGCAACACAGAGAAACCAGTCGTTCCCCAGCGTTCCCATTATGAAATACGCTGGCGCAAAGCTATGTAAACACCAAAATAAAGGGGAGCGTGAGGGTTTTCAATAAGCACACGGAGCGAGGAACAAGGCTCTAATGGACAGACCTGTAGATGGATTGACAACGTACAGTCTGTCCTAAAACTTCTCACTTGAGCTGTTCCCAAGACAGTGTTTTTCCACTCTAATCCCTCTCCACGAGGGAGACAGGCTTAAGTATCCAAAGACCAAGTACCGAGCTGCACTATCAGAATCACCTGAACTGCCTATACAGTATGCTAGAACATATACCAGACTGCAAACGAACTACTGAAATTTGGCATTTCTGAATGCCAAAAAATAACTCGCAAACGCGGTTACGACACAGGCAGAATTTGCTAAGATCTTGGCTTGCCATCTCATACCAAAATAATCTTTCTACAGGAAACACAAATATTCTTCCTCCACATATTTCCTCCTCCTCCAGGTTCGCGAGACTGGGCTCTTCAGCAGCGTTCCCATGTGCCATGGCCTACAGCAGACACTGCTTGGAGAAAAGGCTGTTTAAATACACTAGGAAAAGATACTAAGCAGTTGCACTGAAGATGTCTCAGGGCAAACCCCTTTGCACACATGCTCAGTGGTGTTTTGTGTTCATACAGTCCCTCCTCATGGCATGACTGGGGCTATCAATGGACCAGTGTGTATTCAGTAGTAGTGGATGTCGAGAGGCATGACAAAGCACTTTGCTGTGCTGTTCCCCACCCCCAGAAAGCTGTTGGCAGCTTTGTTATTCCCTTCCCTCCTCCCTCACCCCCAAGTCAACAATGTACTATTGATAGCTCTCTCCAACTTGCGGCCAAGGCATCAAGAAGCTGGATAATGAAGTGTAGTTGTGGGGGGGAAAAAAAAAAAAGATTCATGCAAAGCAGTTCAAGACACTTCCCAGTTTTGCTTCCTCTGGCACATGCAGAAGTCAAAACACAAGACCGCTTCAGCCGCTGAGCCCTGCCTGCAGCACCGGGGCTTCGCCTAGCCCAGACCTGCACACCACCACTATCCTCCCCCAAAACCTCACAGCGGCAGCCAGCTAGGGTCCCGAGAGCAGCACGCGCAGGGCAGCGCCATCAGGCAACGCTGGGGAGCGAGCGTGTGTGTGGGGGACACATTAAAAGGAGTTTTGCTTCCTCCAGATGCGCATTAGCACCCTGGGAAGAAGTTTGTGCAAGCCGCCGACAAAGTCTTATCCCTCGATGCATCCGCACGTGAGCAGCCCACTGCAACTCTGCTCCCTGAGGCCTGTTTATAGCTTAAAAATTAGGATTGTGCTCCCTTCTAGCCTCTCTTCTCTTTTGAGAAGCCGCTTTCCAGCGGCTTGCTTTAGATTAAGATGCATTTAGATCACCAAGGGCCCTTCCCTGAAGAAACTCCCAAGCGAAAGCTTCTCGAGCAAGTCCTGCCTGAAAAGGGAGCTGGAAGCAAGTGTACGTTTTCAGCCAGCAGGTATAATTTTAACTGGCTAAGCTTCCAGCGATCTCAACCCCGTGCCCTGTCCCTGGGAAGCACAAAGGACAACTCCTCAACTTTTGAACCCCGTAACGGCTGCTCTGCAACAGCCCTCACACCTGAAGCCCCAGGCCAGCGCTGCTTTCAGTCCATGACAACAACCAGCACCCTGGGATCTAGAAAGCTGCACATTTTCTTGGTTTTTTTGGGGTTTTTATTTGCACTGAGTAGTTGGGCCTGATGGAAGGATCCACACAGCTCCCTTGACATCACAATAACGAAGTTTTTTTGTTTGTTTTCTTTACCCCCCTTTTTAAAACAGGCTCTGAAGACACAGTTGCACTTAGCCTATAATAGTAAGATATCATGCTGCCAGCCATTGCAAGTCATATATTAAGGCGCCTGATTTGAGGAGCAACTTGTAAATAACCATCTGATGAACAGAGCACAGCTCAAGTATCTACCCTACGCGCAGCGGCCAAGAAACAAGGCTGGTTTATACACATCCTCCGGGCGCTTATCTACGCGGTACGAGAGAGGCTCAGGAAATGACACTTTTCGGACTCTAAACAAGGAACAGACACACAAGATAATTTGATCAGCTGAGAAAAATACCCACAAATCATGTAAGTTCACGCCTGCCCATAACCAACCTGCCGGGAGAGACCACCTTTGCTGGAGATGCGCGGGGACTGCGGGAAGGGAGGGCACAGACCCCCTTCGGCGTTACAGGCTTATTAGCAGAAGGGCGCTCAGACACTCGCCGCCGAGGTGGCCGCCCCCCGGCCCCGGTGCGCCCGGACACCCGCCCGGGGGTCTCCC